TATATATATGTATAAGTAGATAGAATACATAAATACCTTATATGTATAAATGCATAAAATATGCCATCTGTAACTGTTTTCCTAAAATAGTAGCTGATCAGTCTTTTTCAAATAATGTCATGTATAGATTTGACAAAATTATGTATATTCTGATACACAAGGTGGCCAACTTTTCCAATATGGATGAAGATGATATTGAGTTGGAACCAGAAAGAAATTCAAGAAATTGGGAAGAAATCATTCCAGAGGTCCAGAGGCGAAGAATAGAAGAGGAGGAAAGGCAAAAAGAACTTGAAGAAATATACATGCTCCCAAGGATGAGAAACTGTGCAAAACAGGTGTTTCTTGTTTCTGACTGAAATGTAGTTCGGTGTTGCTGTTGGGGTTTGAGGTTTGGGTTATTTTTTTCCTTTTCTGAATGCTTTTTTTTTTGACAGGGCAGGTAAAACTTCCTTATGTTGGTTAATGACATAGCTTTTAACTGCTTATTCTGAAATTCCAGATAAGCTTTAATGGAAGTGAAGGGAGGCGCAGTAGGAGCAGAAGATACTCTGGATCTGATAGCGACTCCATCTCGGAAAGAAAAAGGCCAAAAAAACGTGGAAGACCACGAACTATTCCTCGAGAAAATATTAAAGGATTTAGCGATGCAGAGATCAGGCGGTAAGATATGGGAGGACATGCATATTTAAAAGAGCAAGAAATCGATATTATTGTTTTTATCATAATCATTACTATCAGGCTTGAAACTACAGAAAGCAGTCTTTTTCCTGAACTTGTTGGAAATGTTTTTATTCTAGGCATTTAATGTTTTTGCCTCGTGTACTTTGTGGTGCTGACAGTGAACTGTCATGGCAAGAATTTGAACCCATTTTAATGAGATATAAAACTAGGTTTGAAAAATATTCTTGATTGGTTTAAATTCATTAATTCCTGCAACCCAGGAAGACAGTGATTTCACTGGGTGATCACTGACAGTGATTTTACAATGGATGAACTTTTCTTTTAAAAAACAACCAAGAAAACCAAGCTTCCCACCATTTCATCTAAACACTGTAGTGCTGGAAGAGTATGTAAATCTATTGGGTGACAAATGACAGAATTGGAGTGGACTTTATTTTCTTTTTAGACCTCTTGACACTGTAATTGAATTGTTCTATTATACTTTTTGAAAACTAATAAAATATAAAATCTTATTTGAAACTTGTACTGCTGTTGACCCCTTCAGTATTTGACAAATATTTGCTAAAATACTTTCTTGGTATAAGGAGGAAGAACCGTTTGGGTTTACATTTTTGGGGGTGTGAAATGCTACCTTGCTTCTGAAGTTCAAGTATGCATGTTTCTCTAAAGCTTTTGGTAAAACATTCAAAAGATTTTTGGTTAGAGGAATAACTTTAAAGATCTTTTTTGCCTTTCCCTTTCATCTAACAAGACAGCAAATTGGTACATTTTTCAAGGCTATTCTTGTGCAATTTGAGGCCTTGAATTTTGTGGAAAATTTCTTTTTTAAAGTTATTTCTATTTATTTCTATTTTTCTTTCATTTCCTTTCTATTCTGGGTATCTCCAGTTTCTGTCCATCACTTAGACATTTCAACAGAGAGTATCTTTCATGTAATTTTCCAAAATCTTCCAAGTACCAGTTGCAGATTGCTTCTTTTACTATAGAGCACATAACAGAATGTGTGAAATCTTGATTTGCTGTAAATCCACATTCAGTTTTTATGATTAGATACATACAGCAGCTGAATCTTCTGTCTTGTGAAATTAATAAAGCAATTTCTGGAATAAATTGTACCTTCTATTGTTTCATTTACATCAGCTCTTAAAGCAATAAAACTCTGATTTGGGTTATCTGAATATACGAAGGTGCCCTACTCTCTCTACCACCCCCCCCCGCCTCCGTTGTCCATGTAGCATTGTACTAACATTAATAATTTTTTAATACCATTTTAAAACTGATGTCATTTGTTAAGCACACGTTTAAATGGAAAAATTATTTTATGTTCCTAGGTTTATCAAGAGTTACAAGAAATTTGGTGGTCCTCTTGAAAGGTAAAGTTTCTTGATCATTATTTGTGTAGCAGCTTGAAATCTCGTTTTCATAAAAATTAGAATGTACCAATAAACCTTAGGCTGTAGAGAAAATATATAATCTAGTTTTTTTGCCTTGAATATAGCATGACTTTAGTTTAGTGTCTTCCATTTCTTTGGGTATGCTGTGTGTCCAACAACCAAACAACAGACCTTTCTATTTGCAGGGCTACTTTTTTCTTTATATTTACCTGCTGACTTGTTTAATCTTTACTGCTGATAATCACTCAGTTGTGATGTTGGTAGCCTGTTGAAAGCCTCTTAGTTTATCCACTGTAAGTGTCAAGTTAGTGTTGCATTTTTCATATTGTCAGTTCTTATTTTTAAACTTTATTCATTATTCCTATTTTAAGAAAAACTTCCCATCCTTATTTTCCATAAAAATATTTACAGTTCATACGAACATATGATACATATATACATATGATATAATGTTTCCTTTTCATTTTTTAAGAAATGTGCAGTAATTCAACTCAATACTGGGGTTGGGGTCCTTTACAGTTCTTGTTTTATTGCCCTCTGATATCTGAATAATTTACAGGGTTTTTTTCTCTTGGATCAAAAATTTACACAGCATAGAAAGCACAGGTGACTGATAACTTACATGATAATTTCTCTAGTATCCAAATATGAAGAAGTCAGTCACAATGGCTAAAGTTTCAGAGCTCTAAAAAGTTGTATTTGTTTCATTACAGGTTAGATGCTGTAGCTAGAGATGCTGAGCTGGTTGACAAATCAGAGACAGATCTCAGACGATTGGGAGAGCTTGTACATAATGGATGCATTAAAGCCTTAAAGGACAATTCATCTGGACAAGAAAGAGCAGGTACAATATTCAAGGAGACTTGAGGGAGTGGTGAAAAATACAAAGAAGACTGAATTGCTCTTGCACTCTGATCATAACAGAAAACAGTTTTGTTGGAAAATACAAAAATGCTGGCATACTGGGGAGGTTATATAAAGGTGACTTCTTCCCCTTTCTGTGTGTGACTTTTCACTGGAGAATGCAGTGTGGTTTTGCTTTGCTGTGAAATTTAAAAGTAATCCTGTATCTGGGAGACTTTTTGATTCTGGAGCTTGATTCAAGCATTTGGTTAAGAAAAGGATAATTGTTTTCTTTACAATTTTCTGATGATATTTGCAAAGGTTAATATTTTAATAATTTTGTCATTTATTTTAAGGAGGTAGACTTGGGAAAGTTAAAGGCCCAACATTCAGAATCTCAGGAGTGCAGGTGAATGCAAAGCTAGTTATTTCTCATGAAGAAGAGTTGGCACCATTGCACAAATCCATTCCTTCAGATCCAGAAGAAAGAAAAAGGTATTGATTTTCATATTTATTTTAAAGGAAATACTAATGTAGAAAACTTGTCAAGTTTTATTAGCTTTTTTTCCTGACAACTTTAACTCAAAGCACGCTGTTAAATGCTTTGTCCCTCAGTTCCCTGTGAGAACTGGGCAGCAGTAACATGCTCCACTTCTGTTCTTCATTCTTTCTTTTGTTGCCATAGGAGCCAGTAACAGCTTTGACTTCTCAATTGTATTGACTGAGAACCATCTTCAGTTACTAATGATAATTATGACTATAATTCAGGCCTACTGAGGAGCTGCTGTGTGTGCTATCTGTTCTTGAGAGAGATATCAAACTGCAGCAGTATTTTTTTCTGCCCTCTGAACTTTTTCCCTTGCCAGTTTGTGTATCACTATTCCTAAACTATCCACTTAGCAGCTACACTTGGATGATGATTTTTGCTATTACTTGTGGCTAGCCAACTGAAACACAACTCATGGCCACACACAGATGTCTGTTCTTCAGATTCTTCATATCTTAGTCTTAATCAGCTTTAAGACACATTTCAGTGTGGATTTCAACAAACATTTTATAGAAATGTTGAGAAAATACAAATACTTGGATTAATTTCTTAAGTTTACCAGTATCTTAGCAGAGCAAATAAATTTAGTTTACATCACTTTTAGTATGTTCCCTCTTGCTAAGCTTCAGATGTAAAAAATCCTTTATTTGCCTTCCTAATTTATTTCTTCTAGATATGTCATCCCATGCCACACTAAGGCTGCTCATTTTGATATAGATTGGGGTAAGGAAGATGATTCAAATCTGTTAATAGGCATCTATGAATATGGTTATGGCAGCTGGGAAATGATAAAAATGGATCCTGATCTCAGTTTGACACAGAAGGTATGTCATCTACAACATTTCATCAAGGACTGTTTGTTTAGATAATGATGCTACTAAGTACTGAGTTACTGAAAGAGCTTATTTTATGATAATGAAATGGCAGAGACATTATATGTCAGTTGTGCTTCATACATCTTGTTGTATTTTATTTTTCAGGGTCTTGTGTATTTGGTGGAAGTATACCTTCTTGCAGTCAGTTGTGTTGCCATATTCTCATGTGGTTGGACCTCTGCATTTGCCTTTTTATTTTCAGTCTTTTCCTTCTCTATTTCAGATGTTCTGGTTTTGTTAATTTTGTGTTCTTGAGCTTTTGAGAAGACAGGTTTTTCTAGAGATTTAATTTGGTTTCTCCATCCCCACTTAATCTCCAGGTGCTTCAATTGAAGCTGTCTTTCACTTGCAACATTCAGACTAGCTGTACTAGAATTAGCACAGTAGCTTCTTAGCAATAGTGAGCACCAGGTATTGATGAAAAAATTGAGGTGAAGTAAACTTTGTGACAGTGCCAACAACCAATAGCTCTGGGATTTGTGGAGCCAAGTCTGTGTCCAGATTTGTTTAATAATAATTCCTACTCCTGCTTTCCATTAATTTGTCTGGTTTTTGAAACCACACATTTGTGTTTTTGGCATCTGCAATTCACTGTAGTGAGTTCTGCATTTAGGAGATGAAAAGTCAGAGCCAGGAATTCTGTGGGGGACTGGTAGAGGCAGTCAGAATTTATTAGATGAACTACCCAAGTGGAGACACAAATCTGAGGCTGGTTTCTTGAGTTGGTTTTAAACTGTGAGGCAGTTTCCAAGACTCTGCATTGGTTGCTTGACTGGAGAGAAATGTAAACTTTTAAGAAATTCTCCACTGCTTCAAGCATTCTGGCATGTTTGCTAGGTATAGTTGGAGTGGATTGTTTACCACCTGCTTTTGTACAGCTTTTTCTGTTCTGTGTTCTCCAGGCTAACATCTAAAATTGATAATATGTACTCACAGCTGTGATATTGCCATTGTTCTCCTCAGATTTTGCCTGATGATCCAGATAAGAAACCCCAGGCAAAGCAGTTACAAACCCGTGCAGACTACCTCATTAAATTACTGAATAAAGACCTTGCAAGGAAGGAAGCACAAAGGCTTGCTGGTGCAGTAAGTAAAATTTGGCATTCATTAGTGAGATAAAACAATATGTTTATAGGCATGTTGAATTATTCTCGTATTATTTATGTGTATTCTCTACTTTTGCGCTATGCTCTGTCTCTAATCCTGAGTAAAGTGGTGATTGTTAGTGGCAGTAAATAAAATAAAACTAACCCTCTCTTTGATGTAAAAACAAATCTTTTGCAACTGTGGTGCAAAGGTGTATGTCAGTTGGCATTATTAAAGATATCAATTTGCATTCAGGGCAATTCAAAGAGGAGGAAAGCAAGAACTAAGAAGAATAAGGTGCTAAAGGCTGCAAAAATAAAAGAAGAAATAAAAAGTGATTCTTCACCCCAACCCTCAGAAAAATCAGATGAAGATGATGATGATAACAAGGTAAGTATCTTTCATACTGTGAAGATGGCTATTAGTTCTTCCTGTTAGTATCAGTTTGTGTTTTATCTTCTGCTTGGCTTAATAAAATTAAAGCTCCTGAATGTCATTCTTTTCCTGTGGCCACTACAAGCACAGGGAAGACTGTATCTGTTTTAATTTAATGATAAGCCATTAACTGAGGAATTATGAATAGTTTTCCAAATCATTAAAAAATGATACAGTCTAATTACTAGTGCTATTGCTCCGTTTCAGCATTCTTTAAAGATTTCAGCACTGTATCTGCTAGAATGCAAACCTAATGTAACACACTATTGCAAAACTCATAATGTGTTACAACTACTGATAGTGATTCTTAAGGTAAAGGTATTTTTTATTCAGGCTCAGGAAGAAATTACCAAGCTCAATTAAAATGAGCAGCATGAAAAAAGTATATTTCAAGACTTGCACGTGAAAGCTCTTGTGTACACCTGGCTCTCATTATCCGAAAAGACTGTTTAACTAACTGTTGAACCTTCTTGTGTTCTGTTACTTCTAATGTGTGTCCAGGCTTGCATTGGAACTTTTTATTTCTGTCATTTATCACAGAGGAAAACCACTAGAGATAAAAAATCTGGAATTTTTAAAAAATTTATATAGATTTTATTTGTTTTTAAATAGTCATCATGGCTAATTTTATAATTTTGAAAGTAGTTGAAAAGTAACTGTAAATCTATATGTATGAATAAAATACTTCCTACTTGGTTTGAAGTAAACTATTACAAACCATTGTACTTGTCAGCTTGTTCTAGAGGAAAAAATACTTCCAGATATACATAGTTAAAACCTAGTCAGCATAAGAAAAACCATGATAAATCTATAAAACCCCAGTAATTTTTAACTAAAATATTCCCATATGTATTAAAATAGTACTATGAAGAATAAAATGTAAAACCAGGGAAAAAATCTTCAGTGCAGGCTGACTTATGTTTATAGCTACAACAATTTTCCTGGAATGTAACGCTAAGAATTGTGTTGCCACAGTTCCCTGTAAATTGACAAAGGCAACTGAACTCTAAGACTAAGCAAATTAAGTGTTCAGACTGCTTGAAAAATGAGTGCTAGTCTTCATCGCCAGTCAAAAGAGAAGACACTGCCAGTCAGTCAATTGACTTACTAAATCCTGGGGAAGTGCCTAGAGTGCTCTCCCCTTTTGTATGCTTAATAGAGGGTATTCATCACTTCAGTTCTTTTGGACTCTGATTAACAGTTGCACTTCTGAAAATGGGCTATATACAAGAGCCACCTAAACAATTGGCTTTGGCTACTTAGCTGCCATACTGTATGTGGTGTTTAAAACTTACCTGTTGGAATTATCTGGAAACTTTTGAAGTCATTGGATTTTTGTTGGAAAGTTTCCATGATACCTAAACACTGAAGTCCTGATTGGGCTGATTACTTCATACCTCACCTAGGTAACTTGTTCAGATTCAGGTATTAGCCATTCTTTCATCTGGTTTTCTGCAGCAGTTTTCAGCATGTGTTCTGATAAGGTCAAAGATGACAATGGTTCTTGAACTTGTGTTATAAAACTTTTGTTATTTACTGTGGTATGTTTCTGCATCTGAAAGGATTACAGTTTCCATCTCAGACTTCGTAAGTGAATATTAGAAAGAGCAGTGATGTGATCTTTTGTTCAGCTTCAAGTAATTAAGTGGGGCCCTATCAGACAATCTGTAGCTGAGACTTTTTTTTGAAGCCTAGTGAAACAAACAGCTCTGGAAAAGAGAAAGTTGTGACTCTTACCTTTTTCTGTGAATGTTTAATATAGGATTGGTAAAAGATTACTGGGACAAAGCTAACTAGATCAAAAGTCTTCAAACAACCCCATCCCTTGAATGTCCTGACCAATCAACTCAGTTTTGCAAGACCTTCTTCCTTATAGATTTTAGCTCTTGAGAGTCCTAACTACCTTTAAAGGGACCAAATTTGAAGTTAATTCTAAGTTAAGTGGACACAATTTCTCATACTCACTGCCAAATCAGTACTTGCCATGGTCACATCAAGAAAGTGAGTGCATAGTTCTCATCTTCCCCTACAACTGCATTTAGTTCTGTCTGATAGGTGTTAAATCTATGTCCAGAAAGAAAAAAATGCACAGATGAAAAAACAATCTTATAGTTGTGAAACTTGTGTAGACAGGAACTCAGTTTGATGTGACATATATGCTTGCATATTGCAGGATGAGATTGTTTCAGTGAAACATCCACATAAAAAATTTAAAGCAGAGAAAGAAAATGAAGAAAAGCCTGAGCCAGATACTGGTATAAAGAATGAAGCTGAAGAAAAAAGAGAGACAAAAGAAAAGGAAAATAAGAGGGAATTGAAAAGGGAGAAAAAAGAAAAAGAGGATAAGAAAGAATTAAAAGAAAAGGATATTAAAGAAAAGAGAGAAAACAAAGTAAAAGAATCCACACAGAAAGAAAAAGAAGTAAAGGAAGATAAGGTAACTAGGTTTACTTGTCTTACATAGCACTAGAAAAGGCCACTAGGATTATGTGAATAATTTCGAGATGAAAAGGTGTTTTGGATCTGATCAGTTGTCATTTTATTAGTTTTTTACATCATTGAAGTTTTATTTTTACTCCCTGAAACCACAAAGACAGACATTTGAAATGGGAAAGTACATCTTCAGTGATACATCTCTTACTTGAACTGAGCATACAACTGTGTGCAAAGAATTCTGGTTTTCCTTTTCTATTTTTCTTTTCCATCCCACAGGGAAAGTAAAATGTACTGTCATTAAATGTCAGCATAGATTTTACTCTTAGTCCTGAAGAGAATATAGTAGTCATGGATTTTCATATATTATAGCATAATACCAGAGCCAAAATAAAATGTATTTAAGCATTTTTATATCTTGTTCTTAGGTAAATGAAGTCAAATCTGAAAATAAAGAAAAGACTAAAAAAATTCCATTGCCGGATACTCCAGTTCACATTACTGCAAGTAGTGAACCAGTTCCTATATCAGAAGAATCTGAAGAACTGGATCAGAAAACTTTTAGTGTTGTAAGTCCATTTTGATAATTCTGTGTTTATACTTGATGGTCTAAATGAGGACAGTTTCTGGTGTCTTGGTACTCTTACTTGCTAAAGTAACACAGGTGATTTTTGCTAGTAAAGTGAATGCTGATGATAACATACTAAAGTAATTTTTGTCTGTGTTCCAGCACTTCTGTTTTGGGGTTCTTTGCTGTATTTATGCAGGACAGTTGAAAACCTTAGCCAGTGGTCTGTGTGATGACCTCCTCAAGAATAGCTTGCATATCCTGCTTAAGGTCATGAATGAACTGAAATACAATGGATGGAGTCTCTAGCATATATGCTGTTCTTCTTTGTAAGAGAGCAAGGAAAATGAAGTTTCAGTACTTGCCTCCTGAAGTATTGAAGACTAAAATTAGTAGACACAGGAAGGAAGCAATGCTATAGCCACTAGAAATACCTTGCTAAGTAATGCCTTGACACCTGAAGAATTCTGTTTAGTCTGTACTTCTGACTAAGAACATAATTAATATTTGACCACAAAAAATTAGTATTTGAGGAAAAGGTTTTATAGGTTGGCTGAGGCCGTTAGAAAAGTATCAGTGAGTTCCTTTGAGCAGCTGTTCTCCTGTGGTTGTACTGTCATTCAGATTTCAACAGTTGTGTGTTTCTGCCAGTGTTTGTGTTGTGTGTTTCAACAGGTGTGTTTGTGCTGGTTAGATCTGTTGGGGCTGTTGTGGGTGCTGCTGTGAAACAGCAGTAGGATTCTCTTGAGTATGGTAGTGACTGGTCTGTGGTTTTATTCTAAATATTCCAAGTAACTCAACTGTGAGTTTCAGCGTGGGCCATGAGTGATTCAGGTGGATGTGTTTGTGTGGCTAATGACAGAAAATCACTTGATTTCCATGTACAGTTATATTTTTCTGATCCCTTCCGTATTCATGCAGCACATTCTTTAAGCTGTCTTTTTTAAGGCCACTTTAATCTGTGGCTAGTGCAATATGTAATCTAGATGCTTAATTACATAGTGGCATGAGCTGGCAATAGAACAGCTTCCCTGATTTTTGAGTTGTCCCTAGATGCTTACATGGTGATGGTGTTATTCCATTTCATTCCATTGCAGATCTTTGTTTGGTTTTTCTAGGTTTGGTACTTTATAGAAAAAATGGTGGGTTTTTTTGTTCTGGAATATATGTTTATCATTTTGCCATGGTCAGGTGCAATCTACCTGAACATACTGAACCACACTTTTAAATGGAAGTTACTGCTGTTAAGTTGTTCAGGCTTAACTAATTTGACTCTTTGTGACAAGGAAAGCATGTATTTCATGTTCACCATGCCATTGCATTTCAATGGTATTCCCAAGCAAGTGTCTGTTATTTAAACCATGCCAACTGGATTGATCTGGATTTATTATTAAAACATTGGCTTCAAAGTGTGAAAATTCAAGAATGTATCTGAGTTGACATCACTGTTGTTGCTACTCTAGGCATCCCCTGTACTTTGCACTGGTGAAGGCACATCTCGAGTACTGTGTCCAGTTCTGAGCTCCTCCCTTCAGAAAGGACATGGAGGTGCTGGAACTTGTCCAGGGAAGGGCAGCAGAGCTGGTGAGGGATCTGGAGCACAAGTCTGATAAGGACTGAGAATGAAGGAGCTGAGGGTGTTTAGCCTAGCGAGAAGGAGGCTCAGGGCTGACCTTATCACTCTCTAAAACTACTTGAAAGGAGGTTGTGGTGAGGTGGGGGTCAGGCTCTTCTCCTAGCAATAGGACAAGGAGAAATGGCTCCAGGTTGTGTCAGAACAGGTTCAGGTTGGATATTAGGAAAAATTTCTTCACTAAAAGAATGTTTAGGCATGGGAACAGGCTGCCTAGGGAGGTGATAGTCACCATCCCTGGAAGTGTTCAAAAAACAGCTGGATGTGAGACTTTGTGATATGGTTTAATGAGCATGGTGGTGTTCAGTCAAAGGTTGGACTTAATGATCTTGGAGGTTGTTTACAACCTTTATGGTTCTATACTCAAACTAGCTTTCCTCTAAGTAGTACAAGTTCTGCCAGTGTGCTCATAGGAGTGAGGTTTAAAAACTGCTCAAAGAAGCAATCTTGATCCTTTGCTGAATGCTAGGTGTAATTGTTGCAGAAAGGGTCTGTTTGAAACGTACTGAACACTCTCATATTTAACATTGAGATTGTGTAGCTTGCTAGGTGCTAGCAAGCGTAAGTCTTGTCCTACATGATTGTGCTGAAAATATTTAATTGTAAAACCCAGTTGTAATGAGTCCTTTTCATCAGAAATCCTATATATTAAATTTGTGCTTTCTCACATCCTTACATGGCGTCCCACCCTTAAGGGGAAGGGAGCACCCAAGATTCGTAGATGCTCATGGTCAGAAGGAATGACAAAAGTCAGAGGATCAATAAGAACTTGCAAAGTTTTATTAGTAAAGTACATACTTGTCACAGAAATTGGAATAAATTAGTCTCTGACCTCTATAAGCACAAGGCAGTGGGTTTTGAATAAGGGGGTGTGGTGAAAGCGAAGAGAGAGGTGGATTAAAGAGGGGGAGAGAGAAAGAAAGCAAGAAATGGAGAAAGAGAGATCACCCATCCTGGCTCCAGCATTGACCCAACTCATGCGACTGAAATTCATCAACCAACCCTTCACACACAGGCTTTGTGGAGGAAGTCTTGTATTTCATGTGACTTGAAACAATATTGTCCTTGCATGTGTATATATATCACAGTAAAAGGTGGGTCATGTTTTAGGATTTTTTTTTCTTTTGAACTGATACATTAATTTTTTTCCATTTTACAGTGCAAAGAAAGAATGAGGCCTGTCAAAGCAGCATTGAAACAGCTGGATCGACCAGAGAAGGGCCTTTCTGAAAGAGAGCAGCTGGAACATACTAGACAGTGTCTTATCAAAATTGGGGATCACATTACTGAATGTCTAAAGGAGTATGCAAATCCTGAACAAATTAAACAGTGGAGAAAGTACGTTACTCTCTTTGGTTTGACTTGAAAAAAAGAGTAAATCTGTAATTGCTTTGATTAAGCAGAATAGGTTTTAGTTATTTCTCCTGTTTGTTGTTCTCCCTTTCTTGCATCTTTCTGCTATTTCAAGTAGGAATCTCTTAAAAGGTGATTATAGATTGTTCTGACTTTTAATGGATTGACATGTAAACATAGCTGTCCAGGAGGTGGAGACATCTCTCTGAAAGAAATGCTTGGAAACTTGTCACTACAACTGTGTTTAGTGAAGAAGCATTCTTACCTTTAAGCATCTGGTTCTTTCTGCTTTAGGTGGTTTTGGTGTTTTATAATTCCTGATGAACATATGCAGTTCTAAAATTGTGTTGAACTTTGTATGATTGCAAGTTGCAGAATTCTTTATTGTTTTAAAAATATACTCTCAAATGAAATTACCTATTGCGTATTAAGTGTGACTGATAAAAGTATTTATCAGAACATACTCAGATGCACTTTTATCAGAATGTGCACTTAATCTCTTAATGCTTGAACATACATCTTGCACTTCCATACACCAAAATCTGCTAAGTTGCATTTTCTTGAAGATTTCTGTGAGTGTAAAATGCTTCTGCTGATTTTACTTCCTTTACTTCAAAATATAAAGGTGATTGGAGATACAGAAACAAGAGCCATATACTTTGGTAAATGTTACATTTCTATAAGTGGAAACTCATAATAGAGCAATTTTTCATAATAATGATGAATACTATGTTTAGATTAATAAAACAGGTATTTCGACTGTCTTTGAAAAGAAGTGGTGGAGCTTGTATAAAGTTATAATGGTCTTTAAATTAGACACCACTGATGGGTTGTCCACTTCTGCAAACTTCTAGGCCAAAATTAGTGTTTAAATAATCTCAAGGAAGAAGCAGACTGTTTCTTCCTGAACCTACATGCTTTAGATATTTCTGAACACTAGTATTCTGTAGAGTCTTTCAAGCATTCCACTCATAAATTTAACTAAAAGAATTCTGCATCTGTTAAAAGGACTTTACCTGTGATCATAGAAGCAAATGTTCTTTCCAGAATCTGGCATTTTGAGGGCAGAAGACTTGATTTCTGCTTCTTTTGTTCCATCAAGCATGGAGAACACACAAATTTTTTGTCATACAGCTACCATCCTCTCACAGTTCTCACTTCGTTTCAAAAGCTTTGACCAGACTTTTGAATTCTAGGGGAAAATTTTCTTGCCAATATTTTCAGTTAGTAAGTCTTGTTGGTCAGGTTTCTTATACTGCAAGAGATTTCAAGTTTGAAAGAATTTTTACTTAATATTTTTTTATTTATTTAGGGTGGTAAATACTCAAAATTCAGACAGACTTGCAGAAGACATACATAAACTGACAGCTACATTTTTAAGCATTTCAGAAAAATTAACAGACTTGTTAGTACTACTTCCCATGTACTTTGCATTCTGAAGGACTTATATTAAATATAAAATAGTACCAACTTGTTAAAATTAATCTTCCAAATGTTTTAATTATATCTACATAGTGTTTGTTGGGCAGGTAGGCAGTACTGTGCAGATTTTACAGTGTTTCTGGTTCACTGAAGTACTGTTCAAATAATTTCAGTTAAATCCATATTCTGTTGCATGATACAAGGAACAGGAATTTATAGAAGAATCATAACATCACTTTTCTTCTTCCTCAGAAATTTGTGGATTTTCGTCTCTAAGTTTACAGAATTTGATGCCAGAAAGCTGCACAAACTGTATAAACATGCAATCAAAAAACGCCAGGAGTCTCAGGTAATGCTTTCAGACCCTTTCTAAATACACAAATACATATTTTAAGTACTGTAACTCTTTTATTAGATTTAAGGGATTAAAAGAAACACAGAAATGCACTTCAGTAGAATTTGTGTTTGTAGTGTGCTAGTCTTTTGTTAGGAAATATTTTTAATTTATTCTCTTAAACTTTGGGATTTACCAATGAGCTTTTGTGCTTGTCTCTTTTAGCAACACAATGACCAGAATATTGGCAGCAATGTGAATACACATGTAATTAGAAATCCAGGTAAGAAAGCTTAAGTATATTCTTACGTTAGATATGTGAAGTTTTCATGTCTATTTCATTTCACATGTCTCCTGGGTCTGTTTTCCACACTGTTAAGTACCCTAGAGACAGACTGATTAACAGAGCTTCACGAGTTTGAAGATGAAATCCAATCCTGAGTGCAGACTGAATCTGATGCTTACAGGGTTATTTGACTGCCCTTTAAAAAAATTTAGAATCGTTTTTGTCTTGAATTTTGAGGAAGGCGAGAGGTCTGCTCAAAACCTGTAAATTTCTTGGAAGTTCTGTGCTTGTGTAGCTGTTGTAATGTCGCCACCGTGTAAGATAGCAAGTTGTTACTTGCAGTCATAGTTTGTCATTAGTTATGTGGGCTGTCTTTTATTGTTGACAGGAACACTAATAATTTTTCCTCTGTTCCCATACCTGCATTCTTGCATGTAATACTTGTTTCTGTCTTGTGTTACATAACACTTCAAGTACACTTTCATGGACTTAAAATCAACATAATATATTTTGGGAATACCAGGGAGATTCTTTTATTAACAATGTGTTCCTTGAAAACTGTTTCTCATACTAAGGCCATCCCTTCTCAGAGAGGGAGCTGCAGCCATTCTGTATAAAGCTGCTGTACTGAAGGCACCTCTACTCACTGGTCATTTGGACCACACTTAGCTTCACAGAGTGGATGCAAAGGTTGAAAAGTTCAGTTTTGAAGTCCTACACACCTGCATTCTAGCTTGCTTCCCTTTTAATTCTGACATTTCATTCACTCATGTTAGTGCATTTGTCTTTCCACTATTTAGATTTTGTTTCTTTTAAATTATGTCACTTCCACATTGCTTTACATCCAAGAGGCACAAGTGCAGTTTGAATTAGGTGAAGTAAAGACTTTGAGACCTCCTTTTAACTACTGCTTTATTAAACAGATGTGGAAAGACTGAAGGAGAATACAAACCACGATGATAGTAGCAGGGACAGTTACTCTTCTGATAGACATTTGTCACAATACTACGATCATCCTAAAGACAGGCACCAGGGAGATGCTTACAAGAAAAGTGACTCTAGGAAAAGGCCCTATTCAGCCTTCAGCAACGGAAAAGATCATAGAGACTGGGATCACTACAAACAAGACAGCAGGTGAGTTTTAAAATCCGGTAGAAATTCCCTTCCGGTTTTGTAGCACCAAACCATCTTTTCTGAGTGATCTCTCTCTAATGCAGTTCTGCCAGTTTGACGTAATTGTGGCTCTTAATGTGCTCAGTAACTCTAATACAAATAATTTCTTATTTTTTAGATACTACAGTGATAGTAAACATAGGAAGTTAGATGACTACAGAAGCAGAGACCACAGGTCGAGCCTGGAAGGAAGTTTGAAAGACAGCCGTGTTCATTCGGATCACCGTTCCCATTCAGATCACAGGATACATTCAGATCACCGTTCCACTTCTGAGTACAGCCATCATAAATCTACTAGAGATTATAGGTACCACTCAGACTGG